AAATATAAGACAAAGAAAATGATTCTAAGCAGTTATTGTAAATATGAATCAATGTGCGTAAATATGAAAAAATCTTGTAAATTCATATAAATCTACGCGAAAATGTATTTATCATATTTAATTAATATATTTTTTACGTGTAGTTGTGTGAAACGATCCTTATATTTATTAATTACATGTCTAACTTGTTAGTAGCATTTTGGGTAGCAATAATAGTCCTAATACAGAAATGAAAAAGAACTACCTATCTCACTTTTAGATTATCGTATATTTATCATACTTTTGGATTTGGTCGGGGATTCCCTTATTATCTTGTATTGTTGTCGATTATTAGGCCTTTTTCCATAATTCTTGTACGTTCCTTCTTTTTTCTTAATACTTTCGACCTTTAGCTAGCTCTATTTCTCTCTATTCACTTATATATTTATTAATTAATTAGATACCGGGAATCGGAGTATTAATTCATTTCATTTATATTTTATTTCGTGATAGTCATCACGCGGGTACTTTATAAATATGGACTCCCAGTTTATTTGGGTATTATATTACATTTTCGTAATATTCATTTCATTTTATTGATACATAAACTTTTTATATCAAGGTAAAAGTGTACCTTGGGTTGTGCGCACGCCTTTGAGGTCTTCTTTTGCTATTTAAAAAGACTCCAACAGCTGTCACGGAGGAAAACTAACTTTACATGATAATCCAATGGAGGATATAACCTCTATGTACCATTATTAAGGGTAACAAATTTAAGACTTCTCTGGACGCTAACAGTACTAATGAGTAAACTCGTGTACATCACTTGTACTCCTTAGTACCCGTTACCCCCTATTTGATTTTATCATCCAACCACGAAAACATACCCTGCTTGAGGACGTTATGTTATACCAGAGATGAAAGTTCCCGTATCTCTCCATTACTTATTTATTAATGACAACAATTTTCTTTTTTTACTGTATTTTTCTTATTTAACTGTATCGGTCGGTATATGGTTACGCCAACGTAACCAGTTTTTTCCAGCCTCGCCTTTACACGACAAGCGGCCAGTGGTCACGCCCACACGCCCCGCGTGCTTGTAGTAGTGCAACCGATTCGCGCGGTTGTATAAAGCTTTATCTCTGCTCCGTTTAATTGCTCATGTGATATTATAATTATATATTTATATTGATTTATTTATTTCGATAAATTAGTTTACTATTTATGCAGGTCCCAACGTGCGGTTGCATTGTAGCAGCGCACAGCCTGTCACGATCATATAATGTTAGGAGGTTCGAGGAATAAATAACACGTCTAGTGTTTTCGATTAGACTAGTAGATTTAATGCTCCTTGACAGAGGCGGCGTAAGGCGTGGACGACGTGGGCCACCGCCTACGGCCTCGCGATCTAGGGGCCTCGCGCCCTGGAGGTTTATGCATTACTATTACCGTATACACGCCGAAAAACATTCATTGTCGTGAATCGATACTATTCATATAACTAAATATGTTTTTATTCAGTCTAGCAACGTTAGTTTGCGTTGCTATTGCGGGGAATCCTCGCTGCGGGGCGACCAGCATATACACAGTAATCTATGGGGACGACAAAGGCTGAGGATTCCGCGTTCTGTTTGTTAGACATAGAATATTGACTTTATTTAATCGTGGGCGCGTGGCAATCGAGTAAAGAGTGCGGTACAGCGGCCCACGTGGCTGCTGTAGGTATATTTTCGCGCTGTACGCACATAAGTAGGTAAACGGAACAGACACAAAGATTCTTAAGAACTTGCAAAATTGTTACCTATTTTGGTAGGGTTGTCATCTTGAACGAATTAAGTTGTCACTATAGGTGAAAACAAATTAAAGCTCTAGAACGTTTATGTACATTTTGTAACTGGATTAAAGAATATCGACAAATTGTTTCGAAAAATGCTTGTCTGGTGCTCAATAGTTTATTGAAAAAAACTGTTATGATCTGCCAAAAGACTTTAAAAATGAAAGAGTAGCCAAATATTTAAAAAGATGTTGGATTATGGAGCCAAGGATTAACCTATACAGTCTCCTAAAAGTCGGTATGAAACAGATTTTTTTCAACATCATGCTTGTTCAATTATAACAAATATGGATTTGAGATATATGGCTTTAAACCAACATTATGAAAATTTTGGTTTCCTTTATGATTTAAACAAGTTAAAAAATATTCCAAACCATCTAATATTAAAGTAACTGTCAAGATTTACACACAGCCCTGCGAGTGGGTGAAAGAAGTGAGTTTCAACCTTACGAATTATATGAAGATTTACAATTAATGATCCCTAATTTACCTAACTTCGTAACAGATGTGTGAAAAAGCTTCTCCAATACGTTACAGAAAATAATTTATAAAATATATCCAAACATATACATCGTCATATAACGATCAGTACAGCCTCCACTGAAGGAAGCTTCTTAAAATTAAGACTTATTAAAAATTATCTCAGGAATGTCACAGAAAAGACTTCAGCGTTGAAAGTTTCATCTATCGAGGCAGATATAGAATCTAAGCTATATTATGAGGCTATAATTAAACAATTCAGCAGGATAAAGAGCAGAATATCTATTTCTTCATTTTTCTTTGAAATTGATTGGTGTTGGTACTTAATGATTTTGTATGAATAAAAATTTCGTAGAATAGAATAGAATAATTTTTTATTCAATATAGATTACAAGTAATTCTTATTGAAAGTCAATATTTTACGTTACCACTGGTTTGAAAAAAACCTCTGTCCTGGGAAGAACCAGCAAGAAACCCAGCGAGACTTTTTTTTAAATAAATTTAACAATGTCAAAGGTCACAAAATCTTTACAATTTCTTTAGAAACAGCTTGGAAGCGACCACCTCCTTCCCAGGGGTTATTATCAACCATGTATTCATTTATGTTATAATAACCCTTTTTATACAGTTTTTATTTAATTGAATATTTAAACTTGGTAATAGAGAGACCTTATATGTTTTCTGGGATTTTGTTGTAATAGCGTATACATTGCTCCAAGAATGAATTACTGACTCTGTGGAGTCGAGAAACTGGTAGCACCAGTTTGTGTTTGTTCCTAGTGTTTACAGAGTGTATGTCACTTTTTTTTTACTAAAACTACCTTTATTTTTGTGAACATACATCAAATTTTCATAGATATACTGAGAGGCCAAAGTTAATATATTTATTTCTTTAAATTTTTCTCTAAGAGACTCTCTCGGTTTAAGGTTGTAAATAGCTCTAATGGCACCTTCTGCAAAACAAAAATAGTTTCTAAATCAGCCGCATTCCCCTATAGCAAAATTCCATATGACATTATGCTATGGAAATAACTGAAATAAACTAATCTAGCTGCCTCGACACTAGTGAGATCTCTAATCTTTTTTACAGCATAAGCTGCAGAGCTTAGTCTGCTTGCTAGTTTAGATATATGGGGACCCCACTGAAGCTCAGCGTCGAGAGTGATGCCAAGAAAACCAGAGGATTCAACAGAACTCAGTTCTTCCCCATTTAAAAACACTTTGGTACTCGGATTATTAACATTTGTTGTTGTAAATTTAATACATTTAGTTTTATTGCCGTTTAAATGTAGATTATTAATGTTAAACCAATGCACTAATTTCGATATAGCATTATTCACTTCGTTACATTTAAATGATTGACGTTTTTTAAAAATTAAGGAAGTATCTATCATCAGCAAATATATATCACGATTATCCCCTACAAGGGAAGGTAAATCACTAATATACACTAAAAATAGGAATGGACCAAGAATTGAGCCCTGAGGGTCACCCATGTGTAGGGGCCATCTGGAATATACATAATGTCAAGTGTTTTTTCATTTCGTATAATCCGTCTCCTTGCGCGGGCAGAGGGCCTCGCAAAATGTATCTTGCCCACATAAAATTTAGGTCTTGCGCCGCCACTGCTCCGTGAATATCTCTTAGTCTATCGTATATATATGTAAGTGAGCATACACTACACATACCTTCCGATACCATCCACACCATCTGGATGCTTGTCGGTCCACCACTGTACGTTTCACAAGTTTTCTTTCGCGTACGACCTCTCTGTGGAATAGTTTACCACCGGCGATTTTTCCGGACCGATACTACCTGGGGACCTTCTATAAAAGAGCTTACTCCTTTCTAAAGGACCGGCAACGCACCTGCAATTCCCCTGGTGTTCCGGATGTTCATATGCGGTAGTCACTTAACATCAGGTGAGCCGCATGCTCGTTTGCCCCCTCTTCTATTAAAAAAAAAACGCACTACAGGCTACCGTCTACTGGATAGATTTTTTTTTAAATATACATTGCAAGAAGCTAAGGAGAGGGCTACGCTCGGAGTTTCTCTGCGTGATAAACTTAGAAACGATACAGCCCAATGGATTAGTAAGTGAAGTGGCGATGGTCCGGCCTTATAGCTCGAAGAACCGACAATCGATGGAGAGAAAAGGTTCACGAGTGGCAGCCTCACCTGTTAAGCAGAAAGTCGATGGACGCAGGCAGCTAAGGAGCGAGCTTTGTGGCATTCCTTGGGGGAGACTTATGTTTACCAGTGAACTTGGGGAAGGCTGTAATGATGATGATGATGAAGTTAAAAGAATACTTACTGAAATTCATTTAAGTTTTACCATGGGTTCGGAAAAAAACTCTATCATGGGAAGAACCAGCAAGAAACCCTTGTAATGTATTATCTTAAGACTTATGTATTTTTAACAGTAATTTGCAATATAATATTTTATACAATTAAGTATGAAAACATTTAGAAACAGCATGGTATCGATCACCTCATTACCAGAGGGCATTACAAATGATTTTTGCTTAGTATAAAAAGAAACTGATAAATAGGTCCCACATATTTTCTGGGACTTTGAAGGAAGCTATGACATTGTTATAGGATTCTTCTGGCATATCTCATAGCCGCCTCCTACGACATCCACGCCACACAAAATAGATTCTCCCTTCTCGTCTTCTTTTAGAATGCATGTTTCTCAAAATATCGTATGATTCCGCAGCGATTCATCAGATCTGGTGTGATCGTGACGAGTGTCACGTGCGCTCCGAGAGGAACCGGACCGCCGTGCAGCAGTCCTAACTGCCCGAGGTCGGCCGCCTTTTGTGTTTCTGGGTAAGACCTTTAATACTTAATATTCATTCATCCATTGAATATAACTATATATACGGATTTTATCTCGTTTAATTAACCTATTTTAACTTATATTTAATTTCCGACGTTTCGGGTGCTTTACAGCACCCGTGGTCACAGGGGGCACTGAGATGTTTTCAGCAGATGGCAGCACCCATCCATCTTCTCTATTGAAATTAGGATGTTTTTTAATTTCAATAGCCTCGCGTATCAGAACAAAAAAAAAAAGGGATAATAAAAAAAAAACCAAACCCCCCCCCCCCAAAAAACGGCCAAAAAAAAAAAAAATATGGCATAAATATTGAAAACCAAAAAAAAAAAAAAAAAAAGGAAAAAAAAAAACCCCCATGGACCACAGTAACAACTTACAATCAGGTGGACTGTGTGAAAACATTGGACTGGACTGCGTGCTAGTTTGTCACCTTATCCTATAAATAATAATTAAAAAATCACCCATTACAACCTAAAAAAGTCCACTGCTGAACAAAAGCCTCTCCCATAGATTGCCCCATTGGGATGATTTTGCCAAAGTTGCCATGTTTAGCAGGCGGATTGGCAACCGCAGCTTGTAATTCAAGTGAAACTTCTTTGTTGATGCAATGGAGAAATTTAGTACGGTATTTAAAAAAAACATCACGTTTTCTTATTACGTTTCCATGTGGTATTTCAACGCCGGGGACTAAAGTCGTGCCCACAATGCTTCGCGGCAAATACAGCCTCATTAATCGAATTACCGATGATCTCGGGTGATACAGTCTATGGGTGAGTCATGGTAGTGCGGACTTTTCTATCCAGGGGGTTTAGTTCAGTCTGAGTCCACCTGAGTATGCCAAATGTACACATGAGGGCAGGCATGACCCAACCGTTATATGCGTGTTTTTTATTCACACCGGACAAAATGCTGTTAAGCACTTTGGTCAAGCGTGCGTAACCATGTTTCATACCCGCCTCATCGATACCGATGTTCTGTGACATACCCAGGTCTATGTTCAGTTTTGGAAAATTTCTTTAAGTTAATGGGCATAGATAAGTCTATGCCCTCAGAGTTAACAACTCTTCCCTTTTCAACATGGATGACCGCACACATATCCGTCCCGAACTCCATGTTGATGGAATTGCTGAATTCACAAATGATGCTTAGCAATTCCATAAGATGGAAGCGACTGAAGGCGAGCAACTTGAGATCATCCGTATAAAATAGATGGGTCACTTTTTTCCGTCCCCTCCGAAGCTGAAATCCATTCCCTGAGCCCTCCAGTAAGGTACTGAGAGGGTTCAGAGAGAGGCAGAACCAGATTGGACTCAGACAATCACCTTGAAAGATACCCCTTCTTATCCTTATATGGTTCTCCTCAGCCATCGTCCGCTCCATATATGACAAAAGATCGTACTCCATTGCCCCATACACTGCTCGAGAACTGTACAGTCAACCTTGTATAGCTCGAGCACCCTCTTTATCCACGTATGGGGCACCGAGTCCAATGCCTTTTTGTACTCTATCCAGGCGGCGGAGAAGTTTTGTCGATATATGATACGACAGTGTCGGCCTGATCCGGTCCTGAGCCCGCCCCACATACTTTTGTTCGTTCCAATGATTTATGGAGCCTCTTCTGATCACTCTGGAAGAGACGATTCTGGTTGAACTGCCGTAACCTCTCGGTATATCGCCGAATCCACTTCCCCCAAGCAGCGATCTCTGCTTCAGGTCATCTATGCGCCCCGCTAGTTTGCGGGCCCCGCGTGATATCCGGCTGGGACAAACTGATATTTGTCCCAGCAAACGCCGTTCTAACGGTACGCACAACTCTCGACCTATTATTACCCGACCTGAAGCTTGTCAGTCTGCCGATGAGGGCCTTTGCCTTTGCGATACGGTCCACAATTCTTTTCCTCTAGGCTGGGATGGCGCTACTTTGTCTAGTAGCGCATCCAGCCGTTGGAAGTTTTGCTCCAATAATACGGTAAACTGTCAGTGCGGCGCAAAAAATAATTGAGGCCGGCTCCCAAAGGTCCCGGCTGGCTTCAAATTAGGTCACCAGTATTGCGTTAAGAGCCCGCACGACAGCCCGATTCTGCTTGCTTAGGGGTATGCGAAGTCGCGGTCGACTTTCGAAAGACGTACTGCGCGTGTCCGACATCGCCTCTTCCAATATGCTCCTCATTTTCTTTAGTTCGTGGGAGACTATTCCATCATCGCCTGACTCAACCACAACTGGAATATTCATGACGGCATCCACGTATGCAAGTTGTTACGTTATTATTATTAATTTACCGGTCTCGAACACTGGCGCAAAGTAGCCAGCCTTTTGGTTTTTTACAGGATGTATTCCAGAGTGTGAGCAGGAATTGCATAATTTAATTCCTCCTTCTTCTTTACACCATCGGACAGCCATACGTTCGGCCAGTCTCCACCCTTTCGTAGTTGACTTACTACGCATTCGAACTAAACAGTTTGCTTCGTCGTTCATCATACGTACAGCAAAGGAGTGGAATAAGTTGTCAGCATCTGTCTTTCCATTAGATTACAATGTGGGTGTCTTCAAGACAAGAATAAATAGGCTTTCGTTAAGTCAGTGCGCTGAACCATCTTAGACATCTTAGCACCACTTACCACAGAAATAGTAATAATAAGACAATAGAAATGAATTAGTGCTCAATTGCTTCCAAAACCCATGTTGCTACATCTTAACACATGCGCATTTAAGCGACCGATGCCTGCAGCCGTATTATAAACATACGCAATGCACGATAATATCTATTGACATTACATTGCCTGGCGGGTTTGTCAACGTGGTATGCGTCGCGTATTACAGTAGAACTAAAGCAGCAATGGTAATTGTACAATACGAAAAGTAATAAATGAAAGTTTACAAAAGTAAATATCATAGTAAAGTATTCATCTAGATGTAAATTAGTTAAAACAATGATAATTAGTAAATAATCAACTTACCGATGAAACGCTATTCGACTTTTTGTTTTTAGTCGTTAGGAAGACGCTGCTATTCATCGTCCAATTTTTTTCCTCTGTCGCTTCTTACGACCAGGATGGTATGGGGTAGTGGATATTCTCACATCTCTGCTATAAGGTGTTGAGTTTGAATTATGCTATATATTACATGGACAGCATTACGTGTGGTTATTAAGTTTTCTCGTTGTGGTCCCGCAGCTATGACGAGCGCTCGGGCCGCTGTGTCCGCTTCGTGTGCTCGCGCGTGGTGCTGGCGTGCGGCGGCAGCGACCAGCCCGCTCGGCCGCCCGCCGCGCTGGCGCCCTACGCGCTGCAGGACCTGGCCGAGCTTCACCGCCTGCCCACAGGTGGGTCCCCACGCCCAGCGCAACCTGGCGACACGACCGGCCCGCTCGGCCGGCCGAAGTACTAGCGGCACCGTGTTTTCCCAAACGCGAACGAACCATAAAGCAACAGCAACTACCAGTTATTCAATCAAACAAAACCTATAAAATAATTATGATGATGATGATCATTATCATAATTACGACCTTCACAAGTCCATTCTTGACATAAACCTCCCCCAAGAAATGCCAAAGCACGATCCCAAGCCACCTGTATTCATCAACTTCCTGCATGTCTTAGCACTTGTTACCAAGGACGCCCTAAACTTCGTCTGGCAGTACGAGGCTGCCACTCGAGAACCTTTCTTCCCCATCGGTTATCGGTTCTTCGAGCTATATGGTCGGTCCATTGCCACTTCCGCTACTTATTCGTTGGATGTCGGTTACTATGTCGGTTACTCTGGTTCTACTGCGGATATCCTCGTTTTTAAGTCTACGCAGAGAAACCTCTTCATAGCTCACTAAACGACCTTGAGCTTCGTTCGAAGGACTATGTCTCAGATCCCTAGGTCATCACTAGCAACACATACTGATTGTAATCTTATTTTGAGGTATTGAAGTATGAGAAGAAGATTCCTCAGTCGTTATCTCCCGAACGCTGCCAAGCCGAGTTGAATCCATCGATTGACCTCACTGTCGAAGTTGGACTTATTTAGTCGGACTTTTTGTCAAACAAAACAACTTCGAACTTAGTGCTCCCAACAACTGCCGGCATAGGTGTGACATGAACGGTTCACATGACTTTTGTTTTGTCTATGTTCTTAAGACATATCGGTTGGAAGACACTTTTGAGGTCAATGATTATAGTGCTTAGGTCCTCCAGCGATTCTGCCATAAGGACTATATCGTCGGCAAATTGAAAGTGATTGATGTAATCGCCATTGACATTAATACCATATCCTTTCCAGTCCAGTAGCATAAAAACATCTTCCTATGCAGCGGTGAAGAGTTTCGGGGATATTACGTCACGCTGCACCTCTCTGCAGTTTGATAGGGTTCGTACTCTGGTTCTGTACTCGGAGAGCTATCGTATTCCTACTGTACAAACACTTCAGCACCTCGATATACCGACAGTCCACTTGGCACCGCTGAAGGGACTGCAGCACCGCCCAAATTTCGACGGAATCATAGGCTTTCTCATAGTACACAATTGCCGAAGGATATGTATGTGATCTATGGTACTAAAGCCATTTCGGAAACAGACTTGTTCGGGAGACTAGAAGTCATCGAGTCTACGAGCGAGATGATTCGTAATGACTCGAAAACAAGACGTAGACGTGGCTCAGAAGGGAAATCGGTGCGTAGCTCTTCAAGAAATCGTTGTCGCCTTTCTTGAAGAATAAGACCATCGCACTTCTGCTCAACGCCTCTGGAGTAGTGCCACCATGGTGGACGGAATTAAAGAGAATCTTCAGGTACTGCGGAAGGACTTAAAGTACTGGTTTTCCACCCGCTTTCAGAAGTCCCGTTGTAATTTTATCTACACCTGGGACCTTGCCGTTTTTAAGGTACTGAAGAGCCATTCTAACCTCGTTCAGACTGACGTCCGGGATAACATCGGTATAGAGTCGGATAAGACTTGCTCTCGGATCGTTACTCACACTTGAGTGTGGCTCCAACGATGACGTGTACAGCTGCCCGTAGCACCTTTCAATCTCACTCAAAACCTCAGATAAAACAATAACAATTTTTAATTTGACTATGCGAAGATTTATTTCAGAATGTAATTGAACTACAATACAATAATTCGTAGTTAGACTGAAAATTTCAGTGTAGTGTAAAGTAGGAATAGTAAATCCGAAGTATCATCCCGTTGCATTTAGTAAGAATAATAACATAAGTGAACTTGTTATTTCTTTTAATTTTATTAAGTTAAGCTCTCCACTCTAGTTATACTTTTATGCAATACCTGTAAAGGTTGCTAAGTGAAGAGCACTATGTATAATTTATGATCCAATTGTACACTCAATAGGTAAACAAATTCTTGAATATTTGTTATGACTATTTATTGTTGTGTGTTATGCTTCGTGAATATATTGACATTTTAAAAGATAAACTTCTTTGGGTTTCTTCCCATAGATGTTTCTTCTTTCCGAAGCAGTGGTCGCAGGTTTGGTGAATAAAATATTTAAACTTTAACCCTTCAAGCGCCATAAAAATCCCACGCAGTTAAATGCGCCCAGCAAATCCCGAGTATTTCATATTGATTATATAATGCCAAACTTTTTCGTAGAAAAGTAGTCTCTATATATAAGTTTTTATGGGTTAAAGTGCTGTGGGTGGGTGCGACCTCATGAGACCGCTAGGGATTTGACGGAATATGGCCGTGGTCTCATGAGACCGCTAGGGGGTTGAGAGGTTAAAGTAATATTTAAAATAGGAGGGGGGGGAGGGTTGAATTTTCGGTCCTCCCCGGGCGGCACAAACCCACGCTACGCTACTACTCAACCTGCCGTCACAATGTGGCGCTAGGTCAGTTTTATTTTTATTTGAATCGCATAGTATTGTCCATTACCGTTGTGATCCAATACAGTCTATAAAAGTCTACTGCAATAGGGCTCCCCCGTGGATTGATTCATAGAAGGGATTTTGCCATAGTTGATACGAATGGCGAGCAGATTGTCAACCGCAGTTTTTTTATAATTTCTAGTAGTTACCAAAAAGATGGTGCTGCTCATCGCCTTTTTCTGTTCCCCTCAGTTGTGTCTCACGTCACCTACGAGACGCAGCGGGTAGTGAATATTCTTACACCGCCAAATTAAATGAAATGAAGATTTATTTGCTTTGAAAAAGGATACATTTAGGTGGTTATTGTAAAGTGTAGTTAAGCTTTTTCAACCATCTATGGATAGCATGCAAATACATTTTTTATAATTAAGTTTATTATATTAAAATATCGAATTCAGTTAAAATATTCATCATAAGAACCGTGGTAGCTCAGTGGTTAACGCTCGCTGTAAATATAACAGAACGCGAGAGTAACCCGGGTTCGATCCCCGCCGGCACCAATGAAATTGTTAATTGCAATTTTAAGTGCTGATTTACCACGTGCTCGGCGGTGAAGGAAAACATCGTGAGGAAACCTGCATGTCTGAGGAATAGGAAAAAAAATATTTCAAAGACATGTGAAGTTCGTCAACACGCATTTGGTCAGCGCGGCGGACACTTCCTTGCCCTAAACCCTCTCAGAAATGAGGGGAGGCCTGAGCCCAGCAGTGGGACGTATATAGGCTGTAACTTTACTTTACTTTACTTTTATTCATCATAAAATAGTCATCGTTTGCAAATTACCAATACTAATATCAATACATACACATTTAAAAATAATTAAAATTGAAAATGCAATTAAAAATATAGAATATGGATATCGAACTACTGTGTCACATCATGTCAAATTTAGTTAGTCAGTCACATTATAAAAACAATGATCATTTAGCCACCTGTAAAGGGCGCCTTTAAATCTGTTTATATTTTGGGGTATTTTATTAAATATGAGCATACACATCCAGTAGCAGTTTTTTTTTAAACGAGCACTCTTGTGTATAATTTCAGCAGCAAGTCTATTGCCATTTCTGGTATTTTGCGTATAAATCTCTTTCACTTCTCTGAAATAATACATGTTTTGTTTTACAATCTTTGCAATTTCAAAAATGTATTGTGTGCAGAGCTGTCGGGCCCAGCGCTGGTGGTGGGGTCGGGGCTGAGCGCGGCGGACGCGGTGCGGCGGCTGCGCGGCGTGCGCGTGTTGCACCTGCACCGCGCGCCGCCCGCCGCGCTTGCCGCGCTGCCCGCTGCCGCATACCCCGACTACCATCAGGTGTGCTGCCGCGGATACTAGTTTTTTTGCCAATAAGTTAACTAAAATCCTAATACAGCCATGTCATATGCCGAGGATACGAGGCTTTCTGTCCACAACTTTTTCTAGTTGCCTTGTACATGAGGCTTACTGCCAACAACTTTTTCTAAATACTTCGAATACGAGGCTTTCTGCTGATTGTTTTTTTTTTATAATAAAAGTATACTCGCCACAATATAAAAAGCCCGATTTGACAGCTATAAAAATACTTTGTGTAATGATGGGAAAGAAAATCGAGTGCTTTAAAAACTGATTCTCAAGACATATCGATTACTTAGGGTTTGTTATTTACAATTTATCTACATTGATTAAAATTGATTTTCGATGCATATCGTTTTAATACACGTACAATTTTGTAATGTTTAACAGTTATTACATAAATCCAAACCAAGTTTAAATTTGAGCGAGTTTCAAAGACAAGACACAATCTAAAACTCGACATACTGATTTCTTCCGCATAATAATACATTGTATATTATGTACCAGTGGCGTAGAGGAAAGCTCTTGGCACGCCACTGATGTACACCTGTACGGAGCCGAGGCTAGACGTTAGTCAAGAATAAAATTAACAATAAGTAAATGTGGTTGGGTCATCGAAATAAATAAATTCATAACATTATTATTCCCTTTCGTCGCTGAATGATCCAGAAAAATTATCATCAGTTAAACTGTGTTATGATAACTCCATTTTCTATCAAATTGTCGAAATTACGTCCTAAAAAAATCCTTTCTACTACATTGATGCAATCATCTTTTGTTACGTGTGCACATGGTTCTTTAAGAAAACCTAGCATTATTTTTGTGCTGAATGGAGGTTTTGTATTTTGACTACATTCTTTATTCCCTTGTGCAGTCAAACGGCTACATGGGTTTTAATAAATATGTCATACAATTAACTATGACAATCTTACAGCAGTCAGCTACTATATTGGATGAAAAATATCTATTAATTAATATCAACAACATTTTGTAAATCCAAATGTGCATACCTTAAGCGATCAATACAAAGTATTTTAAACACACACAAATTTTCACAAATAACTATTATTATTATTACTTCTAATTTTCCGATAATTTTATGTCGAACATCCATTAAAATGCTTGGAAAATCAAAAGCGCACGACACATAATGCTTGTGAAAAAATGTAGAAAAAATTCTCAATCAACAATAGAAAATATATTTTTTTAATTTTACTATGTTATTATTATTGACATTCAATTCTTTTTACTATTATTAATTGAAAAAACTCTTACAGAATTATCTTAAAACGATCATGAATCATTTTTAATATAAAATTTTAGGTAACTTCAGTTTTTAGGTATTTGTACTCATTATCGTAAATACTAGTCTTTTTTACCTGACCCGTTATTAATTTTTTTCTCATCAACTTTATTTCGTTTTCTAAGAATTTTTCTTGTAGTCATAACCAGTATTTTAATTTAGCATTCACCAAAGCATTCACCTTCAGGACTATCAAGTCTGGAGGTTTGATCTTATCATAATTAACAAAACGAACCAAACTCGGCGCACCTAGTCTACTCTTTAAGGAGTTCTAGTAGCAGATACCGAAGTACACCTTCAGGTCACTCCATAAAGTCCAAGACGTATAAGTATATTTATATATAAAGCCTACCTAGTTTTAGCGAAACAATATATTGTAATAAAAATCTGTGATTATAAAACTAATAATAATATCTTACCTTGATTAAGTATGTATCAAATTTGGTTTTTGGAATATTTTGTATTTGTACAGTGATCTATATTTTTCATCACGAGCCGCTCTAAACAAACCATACAGTAACGCACTCACGACGGCGGCCGAGCCCGGAATGAGTCAAAGTGTATCTGTATTTAGTAAAATATATTATTACAAGGCTGTTCAAACATAGAAAATTTTGGAAAGCCGAAAAAGTTAATTATAAGTAAACAAAATAAAATAAAATAGCCATTTACATTCCATGGCTTCCCACAATCCCACATGATAGATGAAGAGATTAAAAAATAGATTGAGTTGAACAATTGATATTTTCAAAAGTTATCGTGTTTACCCCTCCATGCGGACTTGATAAATTTACGCCACTAAAACTACAATTTTAATGTAAAACTTTAATCGATTTAAAAAAAGTCCCATAATCATTTATCTTTCAGACAATGTGTTTTTTTATCATTTGTATGTTTAATATGATTGTTAGATAAGATTTCATGCGACAAAACGTTGGATTCTTGATTTTTAGGCGTTAATAGAACATATCTACACGCTTTGCGTTTAAGGCATGCAATACATATACTTTTATTACTATTACTATTTTTTATTACTATTAATATTTTACTATTACTATTTTTATATATAATTTATTATTACTATTAATATTTTTTAGATTAAAATATTTAAATATCAACCTTTAACTCAACCCAAATCGTCAACTTCATGTCTTTCTTGTGCACGAGACTGCCACTCGAGAACGTTTCTTCCCCATCGGTTCACAGTTGTTCGAGCTATAATGACACTTCTACATCCTGATCCATTGATCTTCAATCACAACAGCATTTATTAGCACATTTATACCTACTCAGATTCTCATTTCAAAATTTACCACGCATAAGAAGCTCTGATGTTAACGCTCACCATAACTCAAATAAACATTTTTTTGAATATAATTTTGTTATCATATTTCTCTAATCTTGAAATGTCACATTGAAAAATATTGTAGGCAGCTTAAGTCAGCAGACGTCTTTGATGATAATATGCCAAGATCTCAAAGCAGCCAAGCAGTTCGTCGTTTCCGCAGGCGCAGCCATATACAAATACTGCTAACTATATACTAATACTACACAGACTAGACTAATACACAAAATCACACTTTTTTATATATCGAAATTTACTTTAAACTATTATATAATCAATAATTCTGGAGCAACAAACCCTGCCTACTGATTTAGATTAGGAACAAAGATGATCGAAGTACATAGTCTACAGGACTATAAATAAAGGGACAGCCGTGTTTCAAAAGCGTGCCAATTTCTAACCTTTGCTTTTGATTTGAAAGATAATCAATTAGTAGTCTTAAACATAGACCAGTTACTCCAATTTGTTCCAATTTATGTTTAAGATTAAGAATAGAATAGTATGAAATGAATATGTTAATACCCCTGCTTAAAGATAAATGATTATTCTTTAAATTATATTTGCTTTCTTTTGCCACTTTACTATCAAATCAAGACCTCTTAGACTCTCTCGTTTTCAACAACGTTTTTTTCTTACCACTGCTCTACCAGTTACTATGGGAGGCCGTGGCGACGTAACATAATCCACTACTCCATTTCATCCCGTGGTTGTCGTAAGAAACGACAGGGGGATCAAACCAGGAGTTGGGGAGCAGCAGCCTCCTGCTAACAAATAAAAAGACTGCGGTTGTCAACTCGCTTACCATAGGTGGAACTATGGCAAATATCCACCCTATTAGGCAATTTAAGGGGTAGACCTATGTTCAGCATGGACTTTCAGCAGTGGAATTCAAATCAAAAATCATGACGAATTTTTGTAGCAACCTATCAAATTGGAATGCACAAATCAAACTACTTATTGTATCCCACAGATCTACAAGATGATGTGCGACGGACCCTCGGGCAACCATCACAACTACACCCCGTACCCGGATCACGTCGTAGTGGAAGTCACGCCACTAGAAAACCAAGAAATCACCGACAACAAACTCTGCCTCAAAAGAGTAAAACTCTTGAATCTAGTCACAAACGAAACTACGGAAGTAACGGTCTCCTTGATCGTTGTCCTCATCGGCTCGAGGCCGGACCTATTCTTCTTACAAACAAACTTTAGTTTAAGCAACATTGACGTTAAAAAAGACTGCATTAAATGTTTGAACGAACAGAAGCAAGCGGACAAAGAAAATATTGACAAAGCCAACCAAAGGCAGTGTTTCCTTAAAAGCCATTGGCATTATCTTAAATCTGTCTTGGGACAGAGCATACAAAGTTGCAAGTCGAGATATCTTAATTACACGGAGATAAATGGTAACTCGGACACTAAATGCATTATTTCAGATTGCAATAAGGGAGACATTGACTTAAAACACAAATGCAATGCTTTGGAGAAAGTTGAAAATGGACTTGAAGAGTGTAAATGTGAAATCATACCCTACACAGATACTGTTGACGGAAAGTTGAGGTGCCAGTGTCAGCCAACAAACCCATATTCAAGCGGGTTGGGATTTGGAGTTGACCCAACAAAGCCCGTTGATGGCAGATCGAACCCCATCGCTATTGACAAGAGCACTCATGAACTTCTTAACGCTCCGAAGGGAATTTATGCCCTTGGACCACTCACCGGTGACAACTTCATCCGATTCATCCCCGGTGGAGCCCTAGCCATCGCAGCGGACATACACAGACAAATAAAGACTACAGCAGAGTGAATTGTTACTTACTCAGTGAAATAAATGTGATTGGCTATACTTAATTTTTTTTACAATAAATTATTTTTTATACCCAATTTTGTATTTTATTTAGTGATAGGAACCTGTAATTTTTTTATAGAATAAGGGCTATAAGCAAGCACACACTCCATCTGATGATAAGTGGATGCTGTGGTCTATAGACATCGACATTTAAAAATCGCCGATGGAAAACGATTCCGGTGGGGTCGAGAACGACCGTATGAGGAATAAAACTCTTAGTAAAACGTACATTGGTGGACCGTCAAGCATCCAGATTGTGTGGATTGTATGGTGAGTTTTGTTGCGTTGTGCGGAATAGAGCGGCTGGAATTAATCCAAACAATTCCTCTGAGTATTTCGTGTTAAATTCCGTAGGAAACGTAAAGAGATGTAACATCTCTACGCAGCGTCAATGAGTCAACCTGACCAGAAAGTGCTCGGTCACCGACGATTCGAACCGCTCTGCGCTGGATACCGTCAAGTGGAAGGAGCCTTCACCTTCTTAGCCTTTACTTCCAAGTGACCACAAAACTGCACATCATTCGACATGTCGACGCCGAGGATTGCGATGCTAGCTAAGGCAGCAAAGGGTGTGCCCTTAAATTGAAGAGACGACAAAGGGATTCTTTTTAGCGGTAAACGATCAAACCTGTGTCTTCTGAGGGTTAAAACAGGACTATATTTAGTCGTCCTCAATCCAAAACTTTATTTAACTGTGATGACCTTTTGATGTGCATTTTGATTTAGAATCAAAATGCAGATGCGTTGTATTCACAGAGTACCTTCGGTTATATCCCCTGAGGATTAAGATGGAATGCATCGTTTCCACTAAACAGGGTCTCTGGTTCTTTAAACTCATACGAAACACAGCAGCATTAAGCTTCTATTTTAAACGGCTGTTCAGCGAGAGCGAGGTCCTTCCCCGGATGAGCTGACCCATTCGTGCTACAACCATAATATAATTGCAGCATTGCCTTCTACGTAAGACCGTACTGTACTGTTCTTTACTTACTTACTTACTTATCTTCACGCACAATCCCTAACGGGGTAGCCAGAGAGAACAGATCGCCAAGTGTCACGATCCTTACATACCTCTTTCGCTTCTTTCAGGTTCATTAACTTCTTCATACATGCACGTCTAGGTATCCGAGTACTCTTGACCCTCCCCTCTTCGAGCAATTTGCTCACATGGTCTTCGAAAGTTAGTCTCGGTCTACGTCGACACCTATTAATATTTACTTTCGCTCTATATATTTTCTTCACCATTCGGTCTTCACTCATTCGTTCAACGTGCCCAAAAAAATTTTTGTGATAAGGTCATCTTTCAATCCTACCATATTGCGAATCTCTTCGTTTCGCTTTCGGTCGGCTATGGTAACGCCACACATTTTACGAAGAGATCGCATCTCCACTGCATTCAACTTGCTTTTATGCTTCTTCTGGCATACCCAAGTTTCGCTGCCATATAACAAAGTCGGTACCAACACTGCGTTATGTATTGCAAGGCGTGCACTCTTCACCACGCCTTGCCTTTTTACTAATGCATTCAGGGCACCATTGACTTTGTTTCCGGCAGCGACACGCCTATCCACATCTAAATCACATCTTCCATCCCGGCTGAAAGCACTCCCCAAGTATACAATTTCATTTACCTGTTCTAGACATTCCTGATTTACCCATATTTCACATTTCGTTCTCTCTTCGTCCTTTTCAAATACCAGGGGGTCATTGTAGAAGCGTGCTCGTCGCGACCCCTGCCAGCTCTTTTCAGGGCTGCAACTCTACACAGCTGCGCACCCATGCAAACGAGGGTTAGGGCGTCCCCCCCAAGGCAACGCACACCAGCTCGTCCCCGTTGGTGTGGAATGCAGCGCTCAAAGCGGCGATGGGGACCGCCACCCGTCACGCACAGCCCGACACGGCGGAAGGTGGAGGACGGAGTGCAGAGTTGACACCTGGAATGTTAGAGGGGGCATGAGAGATAAGACGAATGAGTTGATCGAAATAATGAAAGAAAGAGAATTAGATGTCGTGTGTATGTCGGAGACCAAACGGAAAGGCGGTGGTACTGAAGAGCTCCCTGGCGGGACGTTAGCTATATGGTCCGGAGTCCCGGAAAGCGAGAACGCCTGTCAGGGAGTGGGAGTACTGTTGTCGTCCCGGTTGGTCGATCTTATGACTGAATACAAGGTTGTGAACTCAAGACTTCTCTGGGTTCGCTTCAAAATGGGACTGACGAAGTTATTCCTTTTGGCTGTTTATGCGCCGGTAGCTTCGTTGTCCAGGGCTGAGCTGGAGGAGTTTTGGGAGAATGTAAGAGAAGTTCTAGATTTGGTTAAGGGAAACGAAAGAACTGTTGTATGTGGTGATTTGAATGGCTGGGTAGGTATCGCTCGACCAGGATACGAGTCGGTGCTTGGAAAGTTTGGCGATAAAAGGGTTAATGATGCTGGCAAGCTTATACTGGCTGTATGCAAGGAAAAGGGTCTTCTTGTGACAAACACTATGTTTAATCACAGGAAAATCCATATGTACACTAGAGAAAGAAAGAATGAGAGAAGTATGATTGATTTGTTCCTGGTGGATGACCGACTGCGAAAACAGGTGATGGATACACGAGTGTTCAGGGGTGCTGACCTGGGAACGGATCACTATCTAGTAATTACTAGATTTAGGGGTTTGTTAGCGGGTTGGCGCTACCGGACGGCAGTAACAGAACCACAGTCGGTCTGTCGCATCCTAAGCTGGAAGCTTCAGGAAGCGGATACTATGGACAAATATCACACGAGGGTAGCCGAAAAGCTTGACACCATCGATGGCAGGAAAGAATGTGTGGAGAGAACATGGCAGAACCTTAGAGATGGAATGATAAGTGCAGCGGAAGAAGTATGTGGTACGACAAAAAGAGGTAGTAGTAAAAGAAGAGATGCATAGTGGAATGATGAAGTGAGAGAAGCTGTAAAAAAGAAGAAAAAAGCATGGTTAGACTACTTGGCCTCTAGTAACGATGAACTGTACTGTTCTGTATGTTAAAATTGATACCTAAAATGAAAACAGATATGTACCGTATTTTTTTTAACTTATGAGTCCGTTCTTGACTACATCCTACCTGGTGGTAAGTGGTAACGAAGCCCCAGACAGTAAATAGTAGCACTGTCATAGCGTAACGAAAGCCTATTTACTCTTGCCTTGAAGGCGCCCAGATTGTATTTAGTATACAGGGTATCCGGTTTCCGATGTCCGATACTTTAAGGGGTTAAAATACAATTAATTTTATCGACAAATCAGGGATCAATGATTTTTTTTCGGCATCAATAAAAAAATGGCAGCACTTTAAAAAAAATTGTTGGCGAAGCATAGATGCTTGTATTAATTTAACAATATCTACCCAAGTAGAAGACTTTCAAAAACAAAATTGGTCTCAAATGTTAGTTAATAGTGTAGACAATAAATCTAGATTCAAAATATTATTTTTTAATTTTTCAGTATTAGTAAAAAACATTTTTGAAAAAAATAAATTAGACAACAAATTGATGTTGTTTTTCAGATTCTTAGCTTTAAAAAAAAACCATCGTGTTAACAAATATTTTTACTTGTTTTTATTATAATACAGGATATTTGCTATAAATGCACATTTAAATCTTAACTCTGAGTTAGATAGTTTAGGAGCTATGATAGTGTAAACATACTTACTTGAAAAGCGCGGATACACTAGCAAATGAAATAAAACAAAATAATTTATATCAATTGCATTTAATTTGGCAAAATAATTACAAAAACTGCTCAAAGTGACCTCCTTGTCTCTGCAGACATGCTGTTGCTCTTAGTGCAACGTGTTGCGTAGAGCGCTGGATCATTGCCTTGTCTTCTCGCAATTCGTTTGCTGCTTGAATTATTTTTTCTGCTAACTCCTCTCGTGTATTTGGCACATTTATATACGCTCTTCGTTTGAGTGTGCCCCACAAAAAAAAAATCGAGAGGTGTTAAATCCGGCGACCGCGGTGGCCTAGCAATTGTTCCTCCGCGTCCGATCCACGACGAATAGTGTGCATTTAAATGATTCCGCACAAGAAGCGCGAAGTGTGCCGGAGCACCATCCAATTGCAGAATCATTCTGGCCCTGTAGGCCAATGGTAACTCCAATAAAGCATCCAAAAAAATTCGTTTCCAGGAAATTTAGGAATCTTGGGCTATTCATTGTCTCCGGTAAAATGATTGGTCCAATTAGAATGTCGTCAATCATTCCGGCCCAAACGTTGACAGAAAATTTATGTTGAAAAGAACTTGGGCGGATCACATGTGGATTTTCTTGAAGCCACAGGTGTTCGTTACGGTAGTTCGTATACCCTGATCGCGTGAAAGTAGCTTCGTCTGTCCACATAATTCTTTTTAAAAAGTTTGGATCATATCGCGTTTCTCTCAATATCCACGAACAAAATATTGCTCTTCTTACATAATCCGGTTCCAGTATTTCTTGCACCCTTCGAAAATGGTAAGGATGTATTCCTTCTCTTTTTAATATTTTCCACACCGACCATTTTGATAGACTGAGACGATTAGCTATGCGTCTAATGCTCAGGCTAGGGTCTTGAGTAATCATTTGCAATATTTGATGTTCATCTTGGAGCGACAAAACACGAGTACGTTCGTTACCGAGCCTTCTTATTCCATTTTCCGCAAGTCTCAAATGAATTCTCACGAAAGTGCGAGCATTCGGCGTACGTCTGTTAGGAAATCTGCGTGCATACTCTACAACAGCTCTATTTGCACTCCCGTTACACAATCCATACACGAAATGGATGTCAGCGATATGCTGGCTTGAGTACTCGTTCATTGTAATAAACAAAAAGTAACAGTTCAACAACAAAACAAAAACGTAACAAAGTCTAACAACAAACAATAATTATGTACAGTAAGTAGATTTACTTAAAACCAGGAATGTTATCACAACGCAGAGCGAGGGACGACTGCTCGACGGC